AGAAACGAAAAGAACATCATGTTCGACATAAAGGACAGCCCCTCCAGGGTCGAAGACAACCTGGAGGGGCTGAAGAAGTCCAACCTAGCCACCCCTCTCCAGTGACCGTGGGCTGTTGTTCAGTTGAAAGCCAAATTTGATGGTTGAAATCACGATTCTTTCACATGGAAAATCAGTGCCCTAAGTCCTGACGGCTTTGCGGATTACGGAAACACCAAAAGGGCTAGCGCGTGATGAAAATTAAGAAGCTTGTGTCGCGGATTTGTGTTTCGGTTCCAAGCGAACCTCCCAAAAAACCCGAGGTAGGAGAAGGGTTTGGAAACTTCTAAATCCCCAAAGGTCGACACCTTGGGTGCGATCTGCCCTGAACACTAAGCTTAGAAATCTGACAAGAACTTCATCTGTGAGGCTACCTTTTTATCATCACCAATGGTTATTAAGTATTCACAGTTTTTTTTTGTAATCTCAAAAATGATTGTGTGAATGGTAAATAAAATGTCGATTTCACGGGCATCGGAGAAGGTAACCGTTTGGAACATTTGAAACAGCAGTTGATAAATTTGTGACCAGTTTCAGAGGCTCATTCACAAGCTCTTTCACAAGCTCTGAAAATGTTATATCATGCGAAGACCAACGGAGAGCCGACCGTGGACCGTTTTTACCAATCCCATCAAATTTATGTATTTGGCAGGGCTGCCACAACATGTGGATAGTTTTCGCCACTACACATTAAAAAATTTGGATATTCGGTCTTCCGCTCCGATTGATGATTAAATGCCACGACGATAATCCCAAAGCAGCATGTGAGCGATGGGAGGAAAAGGACCACAAACGGCTGTCTACTCGAACGGAAGTTTAGCTCCTACCCTGAGCCCATTGCTTCAGATCTTTACTAACTCTGCCACAGCTCACGTCACTCAGGGATTCCATGCAGATTATTTGCGTTCTTTTTGAAAGAAAACAACACAGCCAGACATGGGAAGCTATCTGTGAATTAAGATAAGAAAGGATTAGCGCTTCATTCACAGATCTCTGAGAGGATTATGGCTCTCTTCTTGAAAACACGCACCGATTTCTGTAAGGCCATGCATAGCGTCAATTTCAGCAGAAACATAAACAGCAATATCGAGAAGGTGGCACACATGCTGGGTGATTTTCCACAGGAATCTTACTGCACAATCCTAAACTGCAATCCCATCTCAGTTGAGTATAAATGAACAATATGAGCGTGTATGCTCCTTGTAAAAGAGCTCGAAAAAGTCTGTAGCAATAGGGGCTCCATGAAGCGAAAGGCGGAAGAGCGCCTGCGGAAAAGTCGTAGACTGAGTGAATGGCAATCAGATGAGAAAAAAGAGATGAATCGATGTAGCATACTTGTAGCAGGCATTTCAAAGTAAAACACTTATGCAAAAAAAAAATTCCTGTAGTAAACAGAGGTGGTAGACGCAATAGAGACGGAACTCTTGAGATGATATTGGTAATTCCTACTACAAAAAAAAGGATCATGTTTATAAGCTAGAGGATATGGATGTTGAATGGTTCGTATGGGCTCTCCATTTCAAGGACCGAAAAGAAGAATATGGGTATCCTCATCAAACCGATCAAAACGTTTATCATGGGAAACGGTTCTGAAAAAAATCTCACCGCTGCAAGTGGGGCGTCTTTATGGAAGGTGGTGGGTGATTGAAAGTGATACTGGCGATTGAATGTTTTACTGTTTTTATGGTTCAATGAATTTAGTGTTATAGAAAATGATATTAGTTAATCAATCTCGCCAGAAAGTGAGCGTCTCAGCCTACGGAACCCTCCACACTCAATGCGGAGGGAATCCGGTGCTATTAAGACTACCATTTTTGACAATCATTTTCAGTTTTGGTATGCTCCCCCTTTTTCCCTTCCACTCAATCCAATTTGAAGTCACTGATTTTTTCATTCCGGACGATGTTATCAACTCGGTTGGCCTAGAATTCAGGCCGGGATTCGATCCTTGAAGCATGTATGTGCTACTACACCACTTGGTATTACCCACCTTCAACTGTGGTGCTGATGCTTTCAAATAATAAATGGAAGGGGTAGTCAAAATAGGTAAACACTGAGTGGGTACAAGAGCTGACAGAGGCAATTAGTACTTGACCTTCCCTAGCTTCTACGATCGAATCAAATGGCTTCAGATGTGTGAATTCCTTCTCTCCATCTTTTCAATAACATTAATTGCAACATCCTTAACTTCCCCGGAAACACAATTTTTCTACGAGTGGGCTTAAGTCGTAAAAAATGTCATCAAATTTATTAATTACACCGAATTATGTATCACGCGAACTAAACTATGCAGCAATAACAAGCATTAGGAACGCCTTGAGAATCCCGTTCTCAATACTTCAATACACCTCATTTATGGGTTTTAGGCGAATGGCTGCAGTCAAGACGATATCACCCCATTGTTGAGAAAGTTTCCAAGTATTATAATAAAGCTGAAAGGTTTATTCTGATGGACCGAAGAAAAGGATTCTAACCTTGGAGATCAGTCTACTACTGGTTCACCAAAGGTTCGGGAACAAAACGTTATCAGGGCTATCCGAGTGCAAACTTTGTGGTAACACTCACAGCTGGCTGCTAACTGAGACGACCCTCTTTTGAATGGTCACACTTACTGTGATGTGAAGTGAAAATGCTAGCAGCAACATATGCTGACACTAGTTGCCAGTGGAAATTTGTAATTAACGGATGAAATATATACAGCACAGACACCCACACTACGTACATATGTACATACATAGCGAATTGAAAACAGTCAGATGTTTAGCAAAGGGCATTGGTAGAGGAAGAACCAAGCTAGATCTGATGACACCATTATGACCACATTCATCTCACACCCGGAACTTTAACTAATTTGAACTTCCTCAAATCTCTCCATTGGCAGACCTGTCACCGCTATATCCCCCTTTCCAAATTTTATGTTTAATAGTTTTCACTCGCCCTGCGGACCACTACCTTAAAAAATTTCACGTCCATAGAAACGACTAAATTCTAGAGGTTTAAACATAGAAGGACACGAGATCACCATCCTGTGATCGTTCACTCCTTGTCTTTTATCATAAAAGGGCAAAGAATATAAAATTTTGGCGTTCATCAGTCCCGTCTGAGGGATACGCCCACGCACTCGACTTCCATTCAGAATCATAGTGGCGTAATGAATGCGTAGGGAGGCCTATACAATAAAATGTGGTGACTAGCCGATGTACAAGTTAGTGCTTTCATCCTTCCAGACGAGTCTGGTACAAATTAATCGACCCCGGATGGACGGAAGGCTTGGTTGGCCTAGGCGAACCTTTGACCATGCGTGTGAAATAGTGCGCCATTTGCTACTACACCAAATCCGCCATTGTTCTAATAAAGCATTAAATCCAAAATATATAAATGGGTCGATTTAATAAGGCTCAGGACACGATTCTTCTAGAGCAATAAGTAGTGACGTAGGTGTCAATCTCCGAGGAAAGCACTCTGCGGATTGCAGACGTCGAGCCTTATAATAAGCCACATTAAATTGCGTTGGTGTTCTGCATTATAGAAGGAATGATGATCAGACATCGCCGAGAACACACAGGCAAAGGCAAGTGGCCACTACTCAATAACAACCAGAAATCACAACTCCAAAGACCAAGACCACTTCCTTGTTTGCTCTACCACTATGAGAGACTTCTGTTTTTACTAGTTTTACCTATACGTTCTAACGTAAACTTCTTTTTCAGAAATTCGAACCGCAAGTCCAATGACTGCTCCTGGATACTGTGTGTAATGCTAAAATGAAGAATACACTAGTGATGGCAGTGGATTGTAGCATTTGCTTGTGTTATTTGATGTACCTATCGGTAAGGGGCAAGAAGGATAAACGACGAAGTTTTTGGTCGTTGATCAATCCCGTCTCTCGTAGTGGCGTATTGAAAGCGTATGTGGTCAACACAATGACTTGCAGTAACCACCCGATGTACGAGTCAGTGCTTTTGCCCTCCCAGACGACTCTGGCACCAACTAAACGACCCCACAGGGATGCATAGCTCTGGATGAACTCGACTCAGTCCTCAGCAAATTACACCTGGTCTCAGTACCCTGGGCTAAAACGACGTTTAAATCGTGGGCATGTTGTTGTGTCGCTATGTTCATTACTCTCTACAACAATGTGAGCAATTATACACAACCGGCAATTCATCGGAATGAAATGCGACATAGCAAATGCTGGGTTTTTGCCAACTACAAACACGCAACCATTGCACTATGCTATTTGGTCCGCTTTGTCACCCGATATCAAATGAAATCACCATCACAATTCCTTTTACACTTGGACAAATTCATTTTAAATTATTCATTCCTTTGAATGATAACGCAACACAAAACTGCTTCGTTTGACATAATAATAATTGAGTTACTAAATCCGCATAGAAGAAATAGATGAAACCATGTTGATGTTGACTGATATGCACTATTAAATAATGCACTAAAAGCTATCAATTGAGTGGAATATGAAATGGAGAATAAAGCATGGGAAGTTCCCACTATAGCAAATGATTTCTAAAAGGATTAAAATTTGTTTAAGCTGAAGAATGAACATTTACTACTACAACAACAACTAGATCTACTTCGTATTGTCACAACTTCGCTGTATTCCTAGGAAACGAAACAATATTAAGAACCAGTACTAGCCGACTCAGTTGCAATTCTCATTTACAGACCCGCATTCTGTACATTCACGAATACACACAAAAGACAAAAACCAGACATATTGACACGAGAGAGAAACGAACAGTAGATGAGTAACCGTAAAGGCGGAAAGCGTGTGGATATGTACAGGAGCGACATAGCAAGAAATGGTTAGCTAAGGGATCATGGGATCGCCACCACCACCGGGATCGTGCCGGGCACGTCCCTTCCTTCCTTCAGAAGAATCAAAAGCGCACAGCACACACGTACACACTACGTCGACGATGATGGCACTTGGATTCGGCCTAATTGGCCGTCCACCTGCGTTCCGTTACATCCGTCAGATTGATCTGGGTGCATGAGCTCACTACCACCTCTTCAGATTCGTCGTCCGTCGCGTCAAAACTTTCCCACTTCTTGGCGATTGACAGGATTTTGAACGTATTAGACGGACTACCGGATTGAATCGGTTCGGTAACGGCTTTGTCCTTTTTCGACGAAAGCCGTCTGGCTGGTTCAGACGCCGTACGGCCATGTACTGTAATAAAAACATACATATGAAGCAGTTTACATAAAAATGCTATATTAAGTAATAAGAAATTATTAAAATTACATATAATGAAGAGTTGCTCTTGATAAGATAATTGTCTAGCTTCAAGGCAGTAATGCAAAGAGGAATAGCGACGCCAGGTGGCACTTTCAAGAAGATATCTCCCCAAATCTTTGCTAATGAGGACGTTTTTAGGCTAACATCGGTCGAAAGACTAATCCGGAGTTGGGATTAACGAGAGAACATGTGAAATCATTCCCACAGATCTTCGCGATCCAATAAACCAAGGCAAAAAGGACACCAGCACTGAATGCGCTCTTATAAGGACCAGATCGAGCGCGCACGAAAACCCATCACAGATAATTAGCCGCGCTTTCCCATCATCACCGATGCACTTTAACGATTCCCTGGCACAGAATAGTGCTCATAGTGAGCGGCTCCGTCTCATTAGTTGAAGATGAAAAATGAAAAAAAAAATTAAAAATTATTTCAAAGTCACAAAAGTCATTAGAGGGCAGCGGCAAAAATGAAAAGATAACAAGTCACAACACCTCACCTCCTTCTTTCTCTAGTTGCATGCGTTTTGAGCCACGCAAAACATTTCGGCGAATTGCGCCGTAGCCGTTTTGCGTCGACGAATAGGTTGCAAATGGATTCTGATTGCTATAGACCGGCTGTTGATAGTCATTCTCAATGCCTACCGTTTTCGCTTCCTGAAAGCATGGTTATTTAAACACTGATACCTCATTTTTAGGAGGAAGGATCAAGAAACGGTGTAATAAAAGGTTCACCTTGTTATGGTTCTCATCGACTTCATCATCATTGCGGCGATTGCGGTTCGGCCAGATAAACCACTTAGGGCATTGGCGGACTTCGATTACCTAGAATAACGCAATCCTTCAGAAACCATTAATTTCATGGAATTTCCTGCACATTTAGCTGATATGAATGGCGGATAGTTAATTCCTAGCAGTGGCCATATCATCACATTCATTTCACCCTGTTTGATTGATATGGTTCGCAAAAATGAAAAGGAAGCGGAGGGAGAGGAGGGCGCTATACGTGTGGGCAAGGTCACAACACCTAGACCATGGGCCGAAGAATTTTAGTTCAAGAAACTGAAAGTGTGACACGGCACCGTCCAGAAATTAGCAACGGGTCGCTCCAAAGCGAAATTC